AGTCTTAACTTGCATTACAATAATATCCTTCTCTATTTGCAAATTGAAAAACAAGGAGATACCATTTCACACCCATTGAATTATCAGAAATAGATGATTCCAAGTGTCTCCAAAAAATGTGGTGAAATTGTAACAGGGTGGTCCCCAGGAAAGGGGGAGGTTCCCTGCCCCACCCAAGGGAGGGTGGAGCTGAGCAGGAAGAGAAGAAGCTGCAGAAGAGACTGAGGAAGGAAGCAGGATGGAGCCAGGAGACCTGGAGGAGGCACATGGAGCCTAGAGACACGTGAAGAAACTGCGCTTGTCTTTTGGTCGTGGACTGGGTGACACAGATGTGGGTGAGACCCGTGGGGAGGTGACAATGGCAGCTTTTATCTTGATGTTGATTTTGCTCTTTTCCTTCCGGCTTGTCCGGACCCTTTGCTGTGGGTCCCCACTGGAAGATGCTTTAGACTTGTGGCAGGCTTTGGGGCCTTGTTCTGGGCCGATCCCATATGGATGGACTTTTACCCACGAGGGGACGGGTAACTTTGGGTGCTTCATTTAGAAACTAGATTCTTTGCCTTTCCTGTATTGTTTCCTAGTTTTATTAAAGTTTCTTCCCATTAAAGTCTCATATTTTTTGTGTTGATGCGGCGGATGGCAGAAACCATTTAAAATAGGCAGGAAGCTGCCCGCAGCCTCTGCAGCACCGGTTCGATCCCTGGCTGCTCCCCGGCCACCAGAGGAGGGTCCCACATGGCGCGTAGACCTCTCCTGCCGCCCGCTGCTCCCCTCAGCAGTGTACTTCGGTCCTTCTGCCTGCTCTGCTCCCCGCTCTGGCTCTGGTGAATTCTCTCACCTTCCCGCACTTCTGACTGTACCCAGTGCTTGCATAAATAAATAAATAAATAAATATTTAAAAAAAATAAAATAAAATAAAATAGGCAGGTTTGCGGGGTTTGGGCTGCCCCTGTCCTATAACAAAATTAGAACTCATTCATTGCTGGTGGGTTGACAGTTGGTGGTAGATTAGAAAATTGGAACTATCAAAGGCACACTTACCCTCTGCCTTCACAAGTAGTTGTATTTAGATCCATTTCTAGATACATGCCCTAGAGAAACATACACAGATTCATGCAGAAAGATATTTATTATTGATGAGAACACAAATTAGAAGACGGTCTGTTGCTAAGATGGTAGAGTAATAAAATGTGGTTTATTTACATATTAGAGTACTATTCAGCAGTTAACATGAATAAACTAGGCTTTAACATACATATAAAAAGATAATTATGGATGAACAAAGCAAGTTGCAGTATCTTACACATACATATTTTTGTAGAAGTGTTAGGGTTCAGATGATGAGGTTTGGTGTGGGGGTTCTTGGGTTCCTCTGAGAAAGAATTCAGCAGCTGTTCCCATTCATCAGCACATGGCAAGTTTATTAAGGAAAGAGAAAAAAGGAGACTCCTGCATAGACACAGGTGGGCAGTTTTAAAGAACAAGTACTGCATTTTGCCAGGGCAAGGGGTGTCTTTTATAATATTCTTTGAATTATTGTGGAAATTATCGCCTTGGGGTCAGATTGGGTTGGTCTTCTAAAATCACTAATCCTCTTAGTGGGTTTCCACCTCTGGCTGATAATCTTTTCTGACCCCACCCCAGATTTCTGGAAATTTCCATAGCCAGGTTTAGTTTAAGATGTATTAATCATCCATGCCCTCACCTCTCATTTGTCCTTGTGAGACCTTCCATCCTAAATTTTTCAATTCTCAGATTCCATCAGAAGTACTTGCAGAATGGGGGGGGTGGGGGTGGGGGACAAGACCTCTGACAGTGTTCTCCTCCAGAAAAGCAAGGAAAGCACTATCAAAAGCATGTCAAATCAACCTTTTAGGAGTTAATTTTCTGGAAATTAACTGAAGACTTTCAACAACCCAAGGTTAGTTTCATTTTAAAAAATGGCTGAATCTCAGTAAAAACAGAGAGCTGTGCAATGTTTTAATGTATCTAATTCAACCCTCCTCACCCTCTGTGGTAACCTTGAGAACCAACAATCTTGCAACGTATCACAGCTATACAAAGCAGCAGCCTGGCAGCCACTGGATTGTCCAGAAAGCTTAAAACTCCCTAGATGTCCCATCCTCACAGAATTGTCACTGTTTGGCCTAGCTGGAAACTTGCTGGTAACTCCATTTTCAGGGCTTGTTTTTCTGACCTGACTAGGAGCTCACCCAGTTCTATCTTTAGGGCACTTTGCCAAAAAACAATCAGCAATAATTCTTTGAAATCCCAGTTACCTGAGGCAGCTTTCACAACTGATGCTGAAAGAGACTGACCAAGCAATTAGATAAGAAAAAATGAGCTATCAGCTATCCATAGCAGACTTTGAAAATTTCCAATTATAGTGTTGGAAATTTAGGAGTCTGTGGACATATGCAAGGTTGTGTGTGCTCCCTCATCTCTGGCTGAGCTTGAGGATCTACAATAACAGAAGTCTTCACTTTTTTAGGCAACTAAAGCAAATGGCAAGTTGTCTTACACTGCATGGAAAATGTGCCCCTAGCAGACACCCACTGACCCTCAGCAAAGACTTTGAGACTAACTGATGCAAGGCATTTAAGAAAATCTTTGTTCAATAAGGAGCTGATCACTAAGCTAACCAAGCAAAGCATTCAGTATCATACATGATAGAAAATGAAAGACTCTAGAATTACTCCAGGAAAGTCACTTAAAAAACAGTAAGAATCACAAACAGCAAAATCCATGTGGAGGCAGAAAGTCTGATTTTCAGAGTTTCCATATTATTTCAAATGTCCACTTTTCAATAAAAATATGACAGAAAAAATAGGAACATATCGTCCATACATAGGAAATTGTTCCTTCAGAAGCCAAGATAGTGGACTTACTAGACAAAGATTTTACCTCAGCTATTTTAAATATATACAATGACCTAAAGAAAACCATGTCTAAAGAATTCAACCAATGTATGAGATGAAGGTCACCAAATAGAGTATATATAAAATGGTATATTATTAAAAAGAACCAATAGGAATTCTGGAGATGAACATTGGTATAGATAATTAAAATGAAAAATTTAGAAGAGGGAGGGGTTCAATAGAAGATTTGAGTTGCCAACAGAAGGAATGAACAAATTTCAAAACAGTTCAAAGCAAGTGTATCTAATTTGAGCAACAGAAAGAAATTAGAATGAAGAAACAGAGCCTCAGACTCTGTGGGACATCATCCTGTACCCCATATATGCATTATTAATAAATGCATAATTGGAAATTCCAAAAAGAGAAAAAGGGGTAGAAGGATCATTTGAAGAAAAATGACTGAAAATGTCACAAACTTGAGTTAAAAATTAACCTACAAATCCAAAAAGCTTAACAAACTCCAAGTAGGGTAAACTGAAAGAGATCTATGTCTAGGCACAGATAAGTTACAGATAGTCAAGCTATCAAAAGCAAAAGGCCAAGAGAGAATCTTGAAAGAAGAGAAAAGTGATTCATCACCTCAGTGTAGTTAAAGTGGGTTTCTCATCAGAAGCCAGGAAGTTCTGAAAGCAATGGGATGATATATTCAAGATGCTGAAAGGAAAATATTGTCAACCAAGAATTCCATATTCAGCACTCGATCCTCAAAAAATGAAGATAAAATTAAGACATTAACAAATAAGCAAAAACTAAGAGAATTTATGGCTGGGGTACTTGCCCTACAGGGAATACTAACAGAGTCCTTTAGTTGCTGTAAAAGAACACTAGAAAGTAACTATGATCCACAAAAAGACATAAAGACCACAGGTAAAGGTCTTTAAATATACAGTTAAATATAAAATAAGGTATATATGAATCTTTCTGCTGCTTTTTTATTTAAGACAATTGCATAGGATAATACCTACAAATCTTTGTTGATGGGCTTAAGATGTGAAAGATGCAAATTGTCTTTGTATTGTATTATGAAATAGTAAATGTATTATGAGACAGTAATAGCACAAAGGAGGGGGGCAGAGAGAAAAATATATTGAAATCAGTTTTTTTATGTACAGTTGAAATTAAGTTGGTATTAATCTGAACTACTTTGTTTTAAATGAAGATGTTATTTGTAATTCCCATGGCAATCACTGAGAAAACAACTCAAAAAATAGAGTGAAAGAAATTTAAAGTGACACACTAGGAGATTAACTATTTAACACAAATAGTAGACAGTAGTAAAGTACAGGTGAAAAGAAGACATAGAGTCATAGAAAACAAATATTCATAGACTCATAGAAAGCAAATAGCAAAATTCAGACATCAGCAATTACACTAAACTCTCCTTATCAGTAATTATACATAAACAAACTACACACTTCAATCAAAAGCTAGAAATGAACTGAATGAATTTAAATAGTTAATCTGACTTCGTGTTGTATATAGTAGACTCCCTTTAGATGCAAGTAAATAAAAAGAATGCAAAAATATATGCCATGCAAACAGTAGCCAAAGGGGAACTGGAATGGCCACACAAATATCAGACAAAATAGACATTACTCAAAAACTGCTCCTGAAACAAGGTAGGACATTTTATAATGACAAAAGAGCCAATCAATCAAGGTGATATATCATTATAAATATATACCAGCACCCCCAAAATGCACCCCAAATGAGACCCAGCACCCCAAAATGAGACAAAAACTAATAGAATTGCAAAGAGAACTAGATTATTCAACAATAATAGTTGGAGACTTCAATACTGTACTTTCAAAAAGGCAGAAGATTAACAAAGAAATAGAAGACTTGAACAACACTATAAGCCAAGTATTCCTCACAGACATCTATAGAACATTACACCCAACAATAGCAGAAAGCATTCTTCTCAAGTGCACAAGGAACATTCTCCAAGATAGTCCATATGTTAGGCCATTGAAAAATCCTCATTAAAGGATTGAATTTGTAATTAAAGAAACTTCCTACAAAGAAAAACCCAGGCACAGATGGCTTCTTTGGTGAATTCTGCCTAACATTTAAAGAAAAATTGTTTTCGCTTCGGCAGCACTTACACTAAAATTGGAACAATACAGAGAAGATTGGCATGGTCCCTGTGCAAGGATGACACAGATTTGTGAAGTAGTCCATAAAAAAAAAAGAAAAAGAAAGAAAAATTGACACTGATCCTTCATACTCTTCCAAAAAGTAGAAGAGAAGAGAATACTTCCCAAATCATTCTATGTAATCAGTACTACTATGATATGAAAAGAAGACAAAGACATGAAAGGAAAGTACAGACCAATATCTGCCCTGCGTATAAAGGCAAAATTTCTCAAAAAAGCAAACCAAACCCAGCAACATTTATAAAAGGATTCTATACCTCAGATGCTATACCTCAGATAGATTCTATATCTATCACCAAGTGGGATTTGTTCCAGGAAAGCAAGATTGGTTTAACACACACACACACACACATACACACACACAGAGAAATATTCACACACACACTTAATCAATGTAATACATCATATTAATAGAATAAAGGGGGAGACCACATGATTATTTCCATGATTATTTCAATGGCTACAGAAAGAGTACTTGATAGAATCCAACCTGTTTCATGATATGTTAAAAACTAACAAACAAACCCAAACACTGAAAAGCTAGAAAAGTTAAGAGACTTCCTTAATCTTATAAAGGCATCTATGAAAACTTTGAAGTTAACATCATATTTAGTGATAAAAGACTAAATGCTTTCTCTGTAAGATCAGAAACAAGATAAGGATGTCCACTCTTGCCACTGTTACTGAATATTGTACTGAGGATTTTAGTTAGGGAAACTAGGCAAGAAAAAGAAGTAAAAGGTAACGAAACAAGAAAAAAAGGTATAAAGCTCTATTTTGCAGATGGCATGATCTTGTACATAGACTATCTTAAGGAATCCACAAGCACAAAAAAATAAAAGCAAAAAACTATTAGAACTAAGAAACAAGCTGAGCAAGGTTACAGGATACAAGATCAATATACAAAAATCAATTGTGCTTCTATACATAAGCTATCAACAATCTGAAGGTAAAATTAAGATCGCAACCACTTACAATGGTGTAAAAAATAAAAACTTAGGGATCAATTGAACTAAATAAGTGCAAAATGGCTATTTGAAACTATAAAACATCAATGAAAAGTCAAAGAAGGCCTAAATCCAGACATATTTATTGTCCTTTGAAGATACTGTGATTTTTTTTTTACAAATTGAGGATTTGTGGCAACCTTGGATTGAGCATGTCACCATTTTTCCAACAACATGTATTCACTTCATGTATAAATCACATTAAATTAAGGTGTATATATATATATATATATATATATATAGTCTTTTAGACATAATACTGTTGCACACTTCATAGACCACAGTATAGTGTAAACATGACTTTTATATGCTCTGGGAAACCAAAAATTTTGTGTCTTCCTTTATTGAGACAATTTGCTTTGTTGCAGTGCCCTGGAACTGACCCAGCAGTCTCAGAGGTATACCTATAAATTGAAAGACATCCTATGATTATAGGTTGGAAAGCATAACATGGTTAAGATAGGCTCAAATTCATCTATAGATTCAATGTCATCTCTACCAAAATTCTAGCTGCCTATTGTTTTTTTTTTTGCAAGAAATTGACGTGGGGGTCCTACTACTCACATGGAAATGTGAAAGACTCAGCATTGCTGAAACAAACTTTGGAAGATTGACGCTTCCCAATTTCAAAACTTAAACAAAGCTACAATAATCAAGACAGTGTGATACAAGAATAAGTGTAAATGTATAGATCAGTGGGATAGAATCAAGAGTCCAGAAATTTACTCTTCCATATGTGATCAGTTGTTTCTCAATAAGGACATCAAGACAATTTGCTGGGGGAAAGAATAGTGTTTTGTTTTTTTTACAAATTGTGTTGGGACAGAGATGTCCACATATACAAAATGAGGCTGTACCCCTACTGTAAACTGTATGCAAAAATTAACTAAAAATGGAACAAAGGTCTATAGTGTTAAGAGCTAAATCTACAAAATTCTTAGGAGAAAACATAGGCACAAATCCTTACAATGTTGATTAGGCTATGGTTTCTTTGAAATGAGACCAGAAGGGCCTCCCTGGTGGTGCAGGGGTTAAAGACGCAGCACTATCAGGCTATCTCCAGCCACTGCAGCACGAGTTGGATCCCCCCCTCACCCCAACTCCCTGGCCACTAGGGAGCTAACCCACAGCAGACCTCTCCTGTCTCACCTGCTTCTCCCCTCAGCAGTGTATTTCAGTAAATCCGCCTGTTCTGCTCCCCACTCTGTCTCTGGTAAATCCTCTCACCTCCCCCACACCTCTGGCCTACACCCCAGTTCTTGTATGCATAAATAAATAAATCTTTAAAAAAAATGAGACCAGAAGTAAAAGCAAAATTGATAAAAGGAAAAAAAAAAATTTAAATCAAAATAAAAAATTTTGTGCATTCTTCCACAGAATGGGAGCATATATTTGCAAATCATATATTCAATAAAGGATTTGCATGCAGAAAATATTTTTAAAACTCTTACAACTCAGTAACAATAATTTAAAAGCAAATAACCAAAATTTTTAAATGAGCAAAGGATTTAAATAAATATTTCTCCAAAGAAAATGCACATATGGCCAATAAGCACATGAAAAGATGTTCAATGTCATTATCCATCAGGAAAATGAAACCAAAACCTTAATCAGATACCACTTCCCACCCGCCAGGATGGCTATCCTCAGATAGCCAAAACCAGCATTGGCAATGAGGGCGAGAAACTGGGACTGTCATGTATTGCTGGTGGGTAAATAAAATGCCATAAAAAGGAATGAAATGCTGACACAAGCTACAGAGTAGACAAACCTTGAAAATAATATTCTAAATTATAAATCAATTTCCAAAGATCACATATATTTTATTAAAGAAGTGTCCAGTTCAGGCAAATTCATGAGGACAGAAAGCAGATTGGTACTACCCAGAAGGGGGCTTGGGGTGAGGGTGGGGAAACAGGAAGGTTGGGTGATTGCTCACAGGTATGGGCTTTTTCCGGGAAAATGAAAATGTTCTAGAACGTGATAGCAGTGAAGGTTGGATAGATCTGTGAAGATACTAAAAACCACTGAATTGTTTAATCTACTTTAAACAGATATGTGAATTATATAATGTGATTGTTTTATCTTTATAAAAGATGCTAAATTTAAAAGGATATATATAATATGATACCATTTATGTGAAAATTTAAAAACACACACAAATGAATACTAACCATTATTTAAAGTTACATACATAAGCAGTGACGTTAAAACAACATGCATAAGAATTTAAGACCAAATTTAGGATTGTGGTTATGTCTAAAGCCAGAAGGAGAAGGGGTGTGTTTGTAATGTTTTATATATTTTTTCTCCCCCAAGACAGAATTTGAAGCAATTACAGAAAAATGTTAACATCTGTTAAATGTGGGTTCTGGGTATGAGGGTGTCGATTTTTCACATTTGTCTGTCTTCCTTATATTTGAAATCATTAATGATCTAATTTTAGGGGGCAATGAACCCTTCTATTTCTTTAGCCTATAGTGGGTTGAATGGTGACCCCCTAAAATATACATCTGCCAGAAACTGTGAATATGACATTGTTTGAAAACGGGATCTTTGTAGAGGAAATAAAGTCAAGAACTCAAAATGAGATTGCGTGGGCCCTAAATGTGATGATAAATGACCTCCTGATAAGAGAAGGGAGGAAGGCTCACACATGCAGAGGCCAAGTGCAGAGGCTGGATCGATGCTACCACAAGCCAAGGAATGCCTGGAACCCCAGAAGCTGCAAGAGGAGAGGCAGGATTTCCCCCAAGTGCCTGCAGAAGAATCATGGCTTCTGGTCTCCAGAACTATGAGAGGAAAGTTCTCTTGTTTTAAGCCACCCAGTTTGCACTCCTCTGTTACGACAGCGCCAGGGAGCTCATACACTGTGCTCCATTTCTTTCTACTCACCTGGATTCTTTCTTTCCCCAGCACGGCCTGACCATCCCAGAATCCACATCTTCCTTCTTACAGAGCCAGATCATTTCCCTGTTGCAAGGAGAAAACAGGGTTGCCTTTGTGGCAGCGCCCAATAGGGACCATTTTCACTCTTTTTGTAGCTAACTGGATTTAGAGGCCTCATCTCTCATCTACCAAGTCTTCCGTCTGCAGCTACTTCCGTGCCCTCTCCTCTCTCTACCAACAGACCTAGCCCCCATCTGCTGGGCTGCTTCCAGGCTGGTCTCCCCACACTGTCACCCACTGGGACACCAGCAGCTTCCAGCTGCCATCACCCTGTCTAACACTTTGTAGCTAAAACAACACGCAAGATGGAATGCAGTGAAACAACACGGGCGTTTCAGCTATTTTCATACATATCATCTCACCTAATCTCATGAAATAGGGACTATTACTATTCTTGGCTGCAGATGCTCAGAAGTTAAATAACTTGCCCAAATAGCCAAACTGACCTGGGTTTTGATCTGGGTCCTGGTAATCCAGACCTGCAGGCTTAGGATACTCGCCCAGTCACTTACCAGCTCTGTTCTTTAACCTCCATTTATGCTTCTGTAAAGAAGAGATAAAAAATCATTTCTGTCTTGTCTGGAGGATTAAGGAGGTTCCTGTAGAAAACCCGAACTTGGTCTCCCGGAGGTTCTTGATCAATGTCAGATGGTATTCTCAACGTCTAGAGAATTAGAGCTGGTTCTAGAAATTTTTTGCCCAGGGTACATCCCAGCCAGCATCCCAAGGAAACTCAGCACACTGCAGTCAAAGGTTTTGTCTGGTTGGTTAATATTTTTGAATATTATGACTGATTTTTATTTTACTTGGAGCTAGCACTCTCTCTCCAAATGGACCTGGACATGGTATCAGGGTTTCTCCCATTTGCAGACTGAAGGCAGGACTGGGCTTGGGGCTCTTCCGCCATCTGTCCTGGATCAAAGGTCAAGTGCAGCCCAGGGCTCAGCCCTGCAGCCAACTTTTGCTTCAAGCTGATTTCCTTGAAAGAAGGCAGATCTCCCAGACTCTCAGGGCCCCTGCCATTGGGAAAATGCTTTCTTCTCTGGCTTATTTGCTTAGGGTTTAGACGGTATTT